AGCTTATTCTGAGCAACAAGCACTAATTGCCATGCTCATTCTTTCTGTCACGCAAAATAAAATACCTGATGTAGTCCACTTGAAGATGGAAAAACACAAAATAATTATGTCTGCAAGGTTAAATGGAACATAAATGCCTTCATCAGAGTGGAACACAATAGGACAATGTCACTGTACTGCAACTAGAAACTGATCATGTGTACATTAAAGATGTTACTTTGCTTTTTTACTGCAGAGCAATGTTTTGTCGATCTTTGTTAGAGATCCTAAATGTCTCGTGGGTTGACTATTAGGGCTCTTTTTCTTAATTATCTATAAATCAACATTTTTTGCAATAAAATGTTTAATTATATATAGGAACATGGGGGGGTTTCACACCTGAAAGTCCGCACCAAGGTCCAAACCAAAGTTCCTGTTTTGATACATTTTGAAACATTCGGTTAGTTTTGGTTTGGTTTCACACTGCAATTCTGCGACCGCACTAAAGGACTTTACATGACAGACCTGCGTCATGTTGTCATCATCTATGTGGGCTGCGTCTACCTATACTTGACATTGATTGGTTTATTAAACAGTTCCACGGGGAGCTTTGACAAGAATGAATAAATGAAAAATGAACAGATGCATATCGTTGCCACTATATTGTTATTATTATGGCATTACTACCTGCAGACCAACTGTACTCGAGGCTCGTTCAAATTCGCCAAATAAATGTCCTTATCGTGAGAACATTATATCGTCACTGGCAGGAAAGGAGGAGAAGAGTGCAAACAATCCTTCTTCACCTCCGTTTGAGGAGAGACCAAAGAGGTGAGTACCAGTTTGCTTCTATCGTGGCCATCTGTTTTAAAAAGATGAGGCGTCACAGGAGATTTATAATTGTGTCCTTATTTCAGTGCATTACTTAACACACTCGAACTTACTCGCTACACCCTAGAAACAAACCAAACCATGGTTCAGTTTGGATGTTTTGCTTTTCTGCTTGTTCAGTAACTTAACCAATTCATTGTTATAATTTCTCTCACTTAATTTTCTGCAGATGAACTTAACTTTCATCGTCACAGTTCTAGTTGACATGGGTCATGATTAATGAGCATGGATTGAGTGAATGACTTTAAAATGAATGAGTTGTAAACTCATCTAACTTACACACCAAAGTTTCCTCTGAAGAGAAAAGTACAGATTGTCAACTTTTAATTGAGCGCGTGTTTTGCCTCCAGGTAAAACAACAGAAGAACATTTCCAGTTTCTGTCAGTAATCCTGCTTTGAGCGAATTACTTGAGATAATGGAACAAATTTACATTCAGAGTTTGTCTTATAGATGACTTAAAAGAGGACGTACTTTCTGAACTTTAGTTATAATCCTTCAGATTTTCATGAAATTAACCCCAATCAACATTCCTATCATTACCTCTTTAATTAATTGGTTTTCATTGCTAGTGTCCACCATTCAAATTGCCTCCACAACCAAGGGTTCATTGGAAAAAATGCATGTGTTTAAGCCAGTGTTACTGTTTTTTACTACTACAGTACTATAAGAGCTTTAAGTGGTTGTTAATCTAAACCAAACATTTCCTACTGCTGCCGCTTCACAATAAAAGCATTCAAATGTCGAAAGTTAGGGTGACTTTTATTGTGAAGCAGACACATGAAACACAATGTATTTCTCAGGGAGGTTAGCACTGACTATGATTGCTCATTAAAAATGCATCTGATCACTTTTAAATATTGCACAAAGTGACTTTGGGTGACTTCTATTGTGAAGCAGTCACATAAAATGCAAGGTATTTCTCAGTGAGGTCAGCGTTGACTGATTTCTCATTAAAAATGCATGTAATCAGTTTTAAATATTGCAGTGAGTAACGGAACAAGAAACTTAACTACAAGTACCACTTGAACTCAGATTGCTCATGACACAATGGAAAATGACCAATTATTATGGTCCATTCGCTAAAACAACATGAATTTGTTTGGTTGCACTGTAAACAGATACACTAGTTTGTGTTAAGGGTCAATAAACACAATGGAGATCACCAACCATATATAGCATCATACCTTTTGCAACTCCTCTATATAAAGCTGATATTAAGCTGTCAATGTCTTACACATTAGATAGAAAGCTTAGAAAAGGAATCACAGGATGAAATAAATGTCTTCAATGAAAAATATCACTTCATAAACAACAAGTCACTGGTGGGTTGACAGCTACAGATTGAGCTACGAAAAAAGGCCCGGATGCCAGTGAATACATGGGTAATAAATTCACACCATGTACACGCACTGAAAAACAAAATATGTTGCCTGTCAGTGTGAACTGCTGTTTTGTCGTTTGAATGCTTTGAGTGTTTCGCCTTTTGAAATAAGCTGTTGAAGTACCCGTGCCCAGGCTGCACTTGCAGACACTCTTTACTGCTTTATTTGTTTGCTCTCAGCATTGTGAAAACTCTATGCCACAGCCACACACAAGAAATACGTGTTTGTCCCACCCCATAATCTTGGGTGTCAATGTGTTGTAAAAGTTTAAGTACAGGGAATTGCAGAGGATTAAAAAAGATGACTGTGACATTACCTCTGATAATTTTCTCTGAATGGGGGTCATCTGGTGTTGCAGCACTAATACCATTAGTTTAATTGGAAGCTGGTTCAGATGTAAGACATGTATTTTATCAGTCAATGAAGTCGGCTGCCCACTCAGTGTCAAAAGAGCACAATCAAGCTGTATATCTGCACACCATCACAGATTACCTCTCTCGTTTACATTGCCGAAACGGAGCAGAGTGAGGAGAGTGAAGCTCTGACAAGCACCAAATGTTTGCTCTCAACTAAAAAATGTACAACAACATAGAATTAACTTAAATTCAGTAATTATTACTTCCTATAACGTTTACATTATAATGTTCAGAATTAGCACTATTACCTTGCCTTATATTCAGGGCTGGACTGGGACAAAAAAATCGGCCCGGCATTTTTGGCCCAGGCGCCCAACCAAAATCACAACGCCCCTCACCAACACACCATCCTTCCATTTAAGGGCTCAGATTAGGGGTGTGACGAAATACTTAGCCCATGAGATGTAACATTGCACAAGATTGGGGCCATGACAAGACAAGAATATATATCAATAGGCCTATTATTTAGGGAAAAAAAGTATTAATGAATTAGTGATAGGGGGGTCTGGGGGTCATCCCCCTGAATATTTTGAGCATTAAACACTTAATTTCCTGCAATCTGGGGACATTTTCTGCACCAGGGAAGCACAAAATTCAGGTGGCAGTTGATAATTCAGAATATAAAAATATAATAGAATATGTAGCTTATTATTGCTTTTAACTTAAGTTACTTTCTTTGGACAACACAGAGTTTTTTTCTATATTTACATGGTATTGCAAATAAACCATTTTCAAAGCATTTTTATTTGTTAATTAACATTTCTTGGTGCAAGCTATTTTTCAGAACATTTCCAACAAATGCTTTCAAAAAGTGGTGGGTAGCCTACGTGTCCCCAGCATCCTCAGTGTAAATGACCCATCCTCCCTGCCCCTCCCTACAGGTTGAGCTACTCATGCCTACCTCTTCACCTCCACTCTCCTCCTGCTCTCTCTCACTCGGCCCTGTCACTTTGTCACTCGCTAAACACACGCCTGGCAGGAGCCACAGCTCTCCATTACTCCTTCAGGTTCCTGTGCCTGCTCTACGTCGGAGAGAGCAGAGGGGGTGGGGGCAAGCATGAGATGTGATTGGGCCGGCCCAGTGTCAGTATAGAAAATGAACCAATGGTCCACTGTCCATGCTTTATGGGATCGTTGTTGGCTCATTTTTTAAAAACAGTTATATAAATACATAATTTACGTTACACTGGCCCCAAATGTGCGTCGGCCCACCGGGCATTTGCCCAGCATGCTAGATTACCAGTCCAGCCCTGTTTATAGTCTTACCCACCATCTAATGGTTGAAACATTTGCCAACCCCTGCTGCATATTATTACTACTTCTGCGAACGTACGCATTCAACGTTGTGATGAGCTCTACACAGCCAGAATTCAACAAGAAGAACAAGAAGAAGAATGTAGTGACAAAAGGGGCTCTGTAGCGCCATTTTCAGCTACTGTAGAAATATGACGGCGCAAAGTGGCGACGTCCATGGAAGGGGGTAAGCGCGGTTATGTAGATAGAAATGGCTCATTCTAAAGAAATAAAAACATTACGTTTCATTATGTAAGGTCTCTTTATACACCTCTGAAAACATAGTTATGGATCTTATATTGCATTTCTGTCAATAGATCCTCAGAAAAATTACACACTGAACCTTTAAAAGATTTTTCTTAAACATGCATGAGATTTGGTTTCTTAAAATATCATTTGCGGCTTAAATGTTTTGATCTTTAACAGTTGTTTTGATTTAATCATTTATATAAATTCTTACTCATAATCAGCAGCTTATTAGCATTTTTTTCTCCATTTCTATCTGGACCGTATAATATGAAGCAATTATTTGAGCTGTCAGTGTTGCAAACGAACCTACTTTACTTCAGTTTAAAAAACACACTGTGACAGACAGCAATAGTCACTGGAGCTCTAACAATCTTTGTATTTCGAAAAATGCTTCAGTTACTCACTAATTATAGCCAGTTTAGAAGTACTGGGAGCGCATCTGGTTACACAGTGAAATTTATATATGACATTTCATTTCATAGGACCTTGATTGGTTTCTAGCTTCAACAGTCACTTCCTAGCATTTGCAAATAATTCATTCACTACTTAATGGGCATAATAAAAGACTGCTCACTTTAAAGCTAATCCCCGTAAGTACACACAATAACTGAAAAGGTAGCAGTCTAACAATCAGGTTTATGAGCCCTCATTGTTGTTTGTGAGTCTCTTTGTGAACAGGTTTCTTTTGTGCTGTTCTATTCTGTAATATAGTTGATTGAATCCTCCAGAGCACAACACAAACATTTTTTATCTTTTTGTTAGCCCCGAATGTAAAAAAAACCCCCAACTAACAGACTTTCTTTATTTTAATTATATCTAGTATACGAAAAAATATTTTCACATACATATTCTTGTTTGATGTATTGGAAGCACAATATTTAGATTCAATTTCAAAAACGTAGGCAAAAAAGTAGTGCTGACTACAAATCCCCAGAGCAGCACATGGGGTTTGATCATTTATGGAATTGAGGTACAATATGTGTACACCAGAAAATGAAAATGTTCTTCAGAAGTGAAACATTGATTTGCTGTAAATGCTGCCTCTATGAGTGAATTTCAATTATAGGATGGATACCCCACAATGCTCTGGTACACTGTGGAGTTCAGAGTTAATTATTTGGTTGACTAATGTGAAGGCCTTGAGCTAGAGCAGCAAGCAAAACCCAATTTTCCTTTTTTCCTCCATTGTTCACGAAGAAAAGAGAGCATGAGGCATAAGTATGTTTCTCTCAGCAGGTTTAGAGGCAGCGGTTGCGGGATAGTGCCTGGCAAATCGCTGGTTTTGATCCCCCGGAACTAACAGGAACAATTTTAATCTATGTTGGGAAGTAGGGATTGGTGAAATAAATGGTTTTAGTGTGTCCAGTTTTCCAATATCAATATGCACAGCAATAGAGGATATATGTCACATATCCATCCATCCATCATCAACCGCTTATCCTGTGTACAGGGTTGCGGGGGGCTGGAGCCAATCCCAGCTGGCATCGGGCGAAAGGCGGGGTACACCCTGTACAGGTCACCAGTCCATTGCAGATATGTCACATATGAAAACATCAAATTAATGTTGGATGTAATGACCTGTGTTCCACTGTTACTCCTTACAACAGATCTTTACACATGAGAGTGCCCAGTCACACCAGACAGGTGCCAAACAGGTGGTGCTGAAGGCATTGGCAGGAGGTAGTACATTTACACATTTACATTTATTGTTAAGTACAGTACTTAGTAAATGTACGTACTTACATAGTAGTAAACAGTTGTGACAATTTTAAGGTACTACATTTATCTGACAGCTTTAGTTACTAGTTGTGTTGCAGATTCATTTATTGATACACAATATAATCAATTAACAAATTATGATGTGTTATTTGTAGATTCAGCTACATCACTGAAATGATGCTTACACATGCAGCAATAAGTATAATCCAATTGTATAATATTCTGACAAGAGCAATTCTGTAAATGCATGCTGTAAATTGTGCTTATTTTTTCATTGTTGTATTGGTGCATGTGGCCTACTTTTACATAAAGCAAGGGTAGGCCTCCCTTAGTGTTGTTCCTTAAAGAGAGTCACCAATATTTGTTACTGATGATGTGCTCTCATGTGGCAGTGGCTCTGTGGACTGACTGATCAGTGAGCGGAGGAGAGCAACAGAACCTTCAGTCAACTAATCATCAGCCAGACAGAAGTGTGAATGTGCATACCTAACGACCAATCACTGATCCCCACTGTTTGTCCGACGACCTCCTCCTTCGTTTTTGCTCTAAAAGTCTGACCTTGACTATTTAGGTTAGGTTTTCTCTCAAAATACAAGGGTGAGTGTATAAGAGTGAATTTATTCCAGTGTGTGGATGCTCTCTATTCATGACACTTTTAGCTCCAAAGCCTACATAAAAAGATTTTTGAAATTAGCGACAGATTTAGGTTCATATTATGAGATGAGAGCAACTTGAAAAATAATTATAGCTACTGATAAAGCAAGTTAGAGTCAGTTCAGCTTGACTTCTTTTTAACAGCTGGCAACACACACACACACAACTTCAAGTTGGATATATTGGAGCTTTCAGAAAAATCCTTTCTAGACATAATTACAACTTGATGTTGACAGCAACACTTTCTACACATCGGAAACTTGTAATTACAGTAACTCTTGTATACTGTAAAAAGAATATGGCATTAAGCACCACACAATTTTACTTCCCCACTTCGAGTGAAACCGCTGAACATATGGTTTCCATTGAAATGAATTAATTTGGGGCTGAGACTTTGCTGTTATAAATACTATGAATACTGATGTGACTGAGCACTCAAATAAAACTTTCTTGTAACTCTTCATGGACTACAGTATTTTGTAAAACAATAGATTGCTATGCAATTCGAATGTCTATAAACAGTAACGGTGAATTATCGCCCAGCCCTAAGAGAATGTGATTAGTACCTGCAGTTGACATGCCCTCAAACAAGGCGTTTAACCACTCAACTGGTGCTGCTTTTCAGCACCACTGTTGGCTCCCAAGGTGTCAGTGTTAACAGCTGTGTGAGTATAATGCAGGTTTTGCTGAGAGAAAAATGCAGTCATCTTTCAGTGAATTGACCCATGGCCAATTAAAGCCAAAATAAAAAATAAAAGCTAATTTCCCTTCATGTCCATAAAAATTAAACAAAGACAAACCCTACAAGTTGACTTGACCCTCTTCAATTACCGAACATAATTAGAGGTCTTGCTTCGCTGAACAACAAGACGGCCTGGAGAGTGAGCTAAGGCTTTCCTCCAGACTGAGCAGATTCTTGGCTTCCAGAGACCCACAGTATTTTAGGGGCAAGAAAGCAGATAATGATCTCTGTTGGAAAATTACACTTTTAGAAACAGAAACTATAGCAGAATAACCATTTATTTTCTATTTATCTTCCTTATTTAATGGCATTTCATAAACACCTCTTTTGTTAAACTCAAAGATGATTGATGATATCAAAAGACTTAATCATCCCCAGCATAGCCTAAACCAGTCACTTGATGATGACGGAGATCGTTTTGTCCCTTGTGTGGCCACTGAGTCATCCCTGGATGATGAATGCATATCTAACTGCACACAGAGAATGCAGTGAATCCATCAGCACAGTGGAACGCTTTGATATCGGCAGATTGGCAGACTGTCTCAAAAGAAAATGTCAAGAGCATAATGGTGATGGGTCACCAAGCGAAACAAACCTTTAAAGCTCTGCATATGGATAAATGTGATTTTGTGTCTCCATTACGTTTGCGGAAACCTGTATTTTTGAAAAGCATTATTTTTCAAGTGAAGTTCAACATAGAGACAAGCAATTCATTCCTTTTTTTTGGTTTTAAAAAGAGAGAATTGAATTGTTCAGTCAAAAGCTCACTCTCTGCCACATGCACTTTTTGTCGCCTTGTGAGTCAATAAGTGAAAGGACACACTAGGTGAGATGAGCCGAAGGCTGGCGCTGTCAGAACAGCACGGTGTCTGGTTCTGGCTCAGCAGAGCAGCTGCTTTGATGGCCCGGGAGCAAAGAGAGCTGAGTGCAATTTTTCAGTGCCTTAGTGGAGCACTGCATGCTGGGAAGGCTACAGCACCGAGCAGACTTCAGTAGATTCAATGAAGGAAGCAGGTCTGTGGGTAAAAAGAAACTTGTGAAATTATCTTTAAGGTTTCCTGATATTTTGCCGCAGATGTTATTTCATTAAATGTCTGCACCCTGTTGGTTTTATTCCCTTCACCCTGAACTTCCACAGATATGAAACACTCACAGGTTAAATGTTGGATATTAAGTATTGGCTCCTGAGTTCAAATGCGAGTTAATTCAGACGAGCCCAAGAGTGAAAACATGTCTGACCTTTCTCTTAATTTTTTCCGTAAATACAGTAACAAATGTCACCTAGATCAGATTAGAAATTGCTAAGTGTTCCAGTAATGGCCTGTTATATGTTGCTCTCTAACATGCACTCCACACTGCCACTGAAATTAAATCTAAAGGTCTTGTATAAAAATAAATAAATCATGACAAGGTATGCAAGCCCAGTTGTTTGAACATTCATTTGAGCACACATTTCAGTAATGAACACTATAGTACAACTAAATCATATAATTTTTCATAGTAAATACACAATATGTATACTATATATCAGCAGGCAAATCATCAAATATACATTAAATTCCAAATATATCAATTGTTTCCACCACAGCACCTTTTCTCAGGAACCAGGTTCTATATTTTGTTCCTCAACCATAACTGCTGGTGTAAGAAAAGTCTCTGCTCCCCGGGTTGTACTTTCTTGTGTAACAGGCCAACAAAAACCTTGCAGCTGCTACAAAGAGTGTAAAGCTTCATTCACAAAGTGAGCAAGCGGTGGGTGCCACTAAAATCATTTGAACAAGGAATGGCTATTTATTTCAATATTTAAAATATAAAAACAAAGCAAGCAGGGATCATCAGGAACCATAAAACGCTCATCAGATCATCACTAATTTGGAGATTCTCTGGATATTCTCCTTCTCCACTTTGCATCCATTCAAACATCAGAGTCACACAGAATGACATTTTTTACACTAATGGGCAGATCTACTAGTTCCACCAGCCTATTAGAAGTTTTTCCTCCCATATTTCTCAACTTCTTTTTGAGAGGAAGGCATGGTGGGTCCAAATCAAGCATGACTGAAGGCAGTGCAAGTAACTAATAGGCTAAAACCCCTGACCCCACTATACCAAATGTGAGCCCCAGCCCCTGTCCAGTGACATTTTCTCCATCTTTAGAAAAAAGTTAGCGTTATGATGTTGTGGCATTTCTACAGGTTGAATGGTGAGGATTTGTCGACTGAACTGAAGATACTGTTAGGATCAATAGAGATTCACTTTGCAACAATCACCCGGCGTGTCATCTCGTTTTGCTTCAGCATTGTACTGTATTGATTAATGATTCTAAGCAGACAAATGTGTCTCGTTTTTCACCTGTGTTTGTACCAAAATATGTGAACTGCATATTATTAATAAGAAAAGAAAAATACTCACCGTCACGGTCTCTAGGCTGCGAGCAGAAATCAACAGCATCCCACTCATAATTCTCGTCAACTGAGGCCTTCCTGCTGAAGAGGTCACAAAACACCATTTAGTATATAAATTCAGTTTGGATTAATTTAGTTTAATGCACATATGACATGTTACCATACAGCATACATATTTATATATATATTTATATTTTCTCATTTATATTAGATTGCTCACACTGAATTTCAATCATAGCATTATGTACCAAAAGAATATGACACCCACGTGGCTCAAAACAGTAATACAAATACATGTAGTACTTAGTAAAAGTGTAAAGTGTAAACATAATTTCCCTCATTCATTATGTCCTTAATACCTTTGGCCTGGTTCCTTTTGGTGACTGTGCCTGTCCTCTGTGCTCCCCTGGCTCTCCTCTACAGTCTCAGGTGAGCTGGTGAGGGTTGGGGAAAGGTGACACAGGGAAAGACGTCTATTAGCGGGCTCCATGCTGCCTCGGCCACTGCTGGCATAGCTGCTGTAGCTGTTCCCGGACTCTGGCACTCCATCGTAGCTTCCTGCTTCCACTTCTAGTCCCTCTTCATCATTGTTATTGGGCGGTAAGTATATAGAAGCTTCCCTCATGACCTCCAAGGAATCTCCTGCAACTTTTGTGGCCTCCTGGTAGGCAAATGACCATTTGGCAGCATTGGGAAAGAAGCCATAGTGGCAAGGCACAGCAGGATTTGGTATGGGTCTCTCTGGACTACTCCTTGGAGATATAGAGTGCACAGCAGGAGCTGAACGGGAGGCAGCTTGGATAGCAGAAGGAGAATTTGCAGAAGATTTGGAGAGTTTCCTGCTAGGAGAGCTCTGGGATTCCCAGGACAGAGAGTCTGGACGACAGGAAGATGTATCAGAGCAGTTCTCTTGGCTGAGAGAGTCTATCCATGCATCAGGAGTCAGGAAATTGCTCTCTTTCCGTCTCCTCGAGTCAAGACTCTGACTTCGCTGCTTAGAGTCCCAGAATTTGGAGCCTTTGGTCACAGCTCTCCTGAGTTTTGGTGGTTGCGGAGAAGCTGAGACCCGGATAATATTATCCAGAGATTCAGGGCTGCGGCAATCAAAGCTCATACTCATGTCTTCATACCGGCCTCTGCGAGTCAGCGAGTGCCCTTGTTGCACATGAGAGGCGATTCTGTGGTGCAGCATGGGCTTTGTAGGCCGCATTACACATACCTCCAACTCTGGCTCATCCACACTCATCTCAACACACACAACTTCATCAGTGGGCTTTGGGAACGCTACCTCCGCTTTTGAAGAGTCTGGCACTGAATCGAGAGCCAAATTAGATCTTTCTTTATATTTATTGCTATGGAAAGACAACGTTGAAAGGCTGCCATGACTAAGATTGTTCTGTCCCTGTGCCTCAGAGCATGAATCATTCGTATGCATTTCTAAGAGTGTGTATTGTGGTAAATTATCATAGCCCTCTGGTGCTGCCTCTACCCTTTCATGTCTCTGGTGCTTTGAGGGTAGATGTGGGAGAGCTAATCTGTCTTTGGAAAAACTGCCTGCCTCCTCAGATTGGAGTGGTGTCTGTTCGGTGAAGGATGGAGTGGGACGATGGTTGCCCAATTGAAATGGTTGAAATGAGGTCCGGGCTGAGATTAGAGGACGGGGTTCCCAATCCACAGAAGATGAAGAGAAATGGCTTGGTGACAGGCCGAAGCTCTCCTTGCTGCCCTGGGGGTATCTGTGTGGCAAGGTACTGCTCTTATATTCCCACAAAAGCTCATAACCACCAGCCTCTCTTCTCTCTGAGTCTGAATGCTCCCTCCTCATTTCTCTCATGGAGCTCCTTTCCAGCGTGTACTTCTGGAGCTCCCTCTCTAGCTCCTCCCTCTCCTGAGCCAGTTTCAGGCAGTGACTCAGGTTTCCTCTCTCCCGCTCGTGCTCCATTTGCAGAACCAGAGTGCTGGCGGTCGTAGATGGCTGACCTAGGCCGGATCGGATATGTGGGAGCACTGGAAATGTGGGAGTACGTTCTCTGTTGGGATGAAGAACGGTAGCCAAACTATTGTTTGAGCACATGCTGCTGAGGTCAGGAAAGACATCGTAGCTTGCCTTCTGATCAAAGATATAAGGGACATGATAGGGCAGGCGCTGGGCCATGCCACTAATCTGGTTTGCGGTTTTGCAAGGTGGGAGATCAACAGAGAGCACAAACGGTGGCTCTTTCCTGTCATCCCTCTCCGAGTGCAGTGAAACAGACCTTCGGACTCTACCAGGTTGGTCATACCTTGCGCTTTTCTTGCTGTTAACACTCAGCGTGTCATGGTCATACGGCGAAAGAACAAAGCGCCCATCTGGACCTCTAGCAATCAACTCAATTTGAGGAGAAAACAGAGAAGTTGTCCTAGTAAGGCGGCCTCTGCTGTAGTTGGACAATGGGAGCTTCTGCCGATGATGATTGTCAGTGCTAAAGGAGGAACAGTCTGTCTGCGAGGAGGAGGAGGTGGTATTAGAGGAAGTGGTGGGATATAGGATGCTGGCTGGAAGTAGGCTTTTCTTCAACACACTGTCTGGACTGCTGGTGCCTGAAGTCTTTCTGTGAGAGAAAGAAGAAAGTGGGGAGGGAGGGGTGAAAGAAGAAAATTGTAAGAAAAACCGGAGGTGTAAGAGGGAGAAAAAAAGAGACCAAGAATATGAGAGTGAGTGAGAGTGAAAGAGGGGGCGGGTAGAGATGTAGACAGAGAGAGACCAAAACAGCAGCGGCAACAATAAAATGAAGATGAGCAAGAAAAATAAGATATGAAATAGAAAATAACTGAAGTGCTGGCATTTTCAAAATATTTGTAATGGAAGCAGAGGGGAAGGTCAATGGGAGGTATTATAATGAAATGATAAGGGGGTACTTACATTGATGGGGAGCATTTATAGATGGCAGGATGGGGCTCTGAAAGTGAGGGAGAGGGGCAAGATGGTATCTGACTCATTAGGATACAACCACACTGACCAAGAAGCAAAAACATAATCAACCCTAATAAGAGCCCATTAAAGGGCCCGAGGCACCCAGGCTTGTCCAAAAAGTTAATTACACTTACATTTATCAGCCTCTAATGAGAAATTACCCTAATTAGCAAGTAATGTAAATGACATCAATAACTTTTACAACTGAATGGATGAGCGGGGGACAAGAGGAGCGCCAAATCTATGCAGTGGGGTATGATTTATATAATGGATTGAAAGTGCCTTCAATATTTTATTGAATAAATGATGATATTCATGATGCAGTTCATCAAAGTGAGTGTCTGCTGAGTCTCTGGGGTGAGGGGCATTTTACCATCCTCCTTTCTGCGGCGCTGGTCCCTCTTGTGGCTGATGACACAGGCAGACCCCAGCAGCAAGACCAGTGCCAAGCACATGAAGCCGACCCCGCCCAGCACGCCGGCCAGTAATGGTTCCGGGACGAACTCCAGGAGTCGGGATGTTGCGGGATATATCTCCATCCCTGTTTCATGAGTGATATATATTAGTAGAAAAATAATAAAAGGAAGCTAAGTGTGACTGTAGAGTCAGCAGGCAACCATTAAAAAAATACATAATAAATAACAGTTGCTTGCCGTGGTAGCAGCACACACTTGAAAACAATTACAAGATTTTTCAGAAATAAAAAAAAAATATATTATAGTTTCAAAATACCTATTTCAAAATAAATGGTCATAGGTAATTTTCCAATTTTTGTATACATTTTACATTAATTAAAAATATTTATATATATATAGAATTTATATTATAACATCTAAAATTTAAATTGATAAAAATGTATTTATAACTTTGTTTGTTAGAAAGTTTTGTTCATGAAGCTGTACAGTCATCTGATCATAGTGGCTGACCTCCAATACATGCATATTTCACGCCACTTGCATCAGTCTGTTAATAATACCATGAACTTTGGTAGTCCCAGTTTTAAGTGGATCTAATCATTATCAGAAAATCTTAAACTTGATGTTTCTGCAAAATTTGCTCAGTCAGATGTCAAAATTTGAGATTATCAGCAGAGCTATGTTAACAATATATAATCTATGGCTCTGATTGTTGCGACAGTCCTTCAGTGATACCAGCGGGGGTTTTAAATCCCTCTGTTTGGTATCTCTGTGCCATATCTAATGAAACATTCATGTTACATTCACTAAGAATAAAAAGGCCAGTACAAATTCTGTCACTAACTCTTTTCAGAAGTTATTAGTGAAGCTATTTCTATCATTCAGGCTTCTAATGGACAGCATTCCCCGAGGCACTGCTCTAATTTTGGTCCAACTCTGGGAACAGAGGGACGTGGGAAGAAATAAGGAAAAGAGTTTGAAAAGGAGACTGAGAGGAGGATGGGTTGAAACAGGGGGTGGGGAGAGAAGGCAAAGGGGGCAAGGTTGCTCTCGAACACCTACCCATAGTGGAGACATTGACTGATGGACTGGGCTCGCTCAGCAACTCCCCGCGACGAGATAGCAGCCGCAGCTCGTACACACTGTCCTAAGACGAGCATCCGCACGCACGCACCCACGCACGCACGCACACACACACAGCGGGGAGGACAGAGGATAAAACCACACTTTGTCAACACGGGACTGTGCCTGCAATGCTAATGAAGTTCATTTGAATTTCTGTAGGCCTATACAGGAGAAAAAAAGAAGGATGAAACAGGCAGAAAGAAGAAAAGGCAGCGCACGCAGAAAGACGACAGAAATGATGGCTGCCATGTGTGTATAACTGAGAGTGTACACAAGTAAAACCACGGAGGTGTAGCCTAGATAAAAATCTCCAAGGCATTCAACAAGCAGAGTAGTCTGATTAGTCTCCGAGGGAGCAGTGTGTGAGTGGCTTGTTACCTTGTGCAGACCCGGAACGACTATCTCACTAGTGTTGGCACTGATGTCCTCGTCCAAATTAAACCACTCCCCTTGCTCGGTGCGGGATTGGAGAACAAAGCCCGTGATGGGAGGGTGCTGAGCTTCAGGAGGGGACCACTGCAGAACAACACCCTCTGAACTCTGATTAGCAGACAGCGACGCAGGGGGCTTTAGTTTACTTCTCCTCTGTGGAGGATCTGATGCAGAGGAATAAAAAAGACCTTCAGCTGATCAGCCAGATACGTCCTGGCGGAAACATTTAATCACAGGGGAGGAAATTGCTATTGCCACAGATGTTCAACCTTGAGGTTGTGAGGAGAGAAGGGTTTGGGTTTATGTTGCGATATACAAATTACTGACCAGTATCTTAAGTTTGATCAAACCACATTAAACAAAGTGTGAGGCTTATTTACTATATTTCAGGTCTAATATTATTATTTCAGAAAGTTTGATTTATATTGTAATTATACTATCTACCATGATATTCATAGCATGAACATTTGATACTGCCACATCCCTACTGCCACACTGAAATAACAGGTGTAACTGACTTCCTTTGCATACATTATTCACAAGTTACCAAATACTGAAGTTCCCAGTTCACAAATATTAAGTTGATAAGCTTGGTATCCAGATAACGATTGATTATGTATAAAAATTGAATTGGGAGAAACTGAAATTGAAATGATAAACTAGATTGTTTCATCAGAGAAGACCCCTCGCTCTGTTCCCAAAAACAACCTTTGGGGAAATTAATCCAAATGTTAATTTTTACCTCTTATCCAGCAGCTGGTTGCATCTTCAAAGGTTTTCTCAGATGTCTCAAGGGTGTCTACTCTCTGCTGGGACGGATAAAATGTTTCCAGGGGCAAAATCAACATTTAACTCACAACATTTCCACAGAGTGTGCCGTCCACTGTCCTGTCCTGCCATAGGCTAGGGCAGATGAATAAACATACCTAAATGTACCGTACATCCAGCTAAGAAGAAGAGAAGAGCAGCAGCACATTGTGTGGAAACATTGGATTTGAATGTTGAAATCGCCCCCGGGTGAACTTTTGATCATCCCATGAGAACTGTAGGTATCTGTAAGATCACTAAACACCTTTGAAGATGCATCCCGCTGCTGGATAACAGGTAATACAGCCAAACTAGCAGCTCTGTTAGGTAAATGCCAACATGGTCTCACATTGCAAACATGCTGATCTTTATAAAGGTATAATGTTACCATATCCTCATCTTAATTTAGCATGTTAGCATGCCAGCCTTTGCTAATTAGCAATAAATAAAAAATGGGATGGGAATGTCATTTGTTTCGCAAGTACTGGACAAATTACAATTAAGACCTCATGATATCGCCAGATGTACAATTCGGAGAGTTATGTCAGTTCATCCTGACAAGAACACGAATGTCTACAAAATGTCATGGCGGTGCATTCAAAGTTATTGAAAGATTCAGGTTTGGATCAAAGTGGTGGACCGACTGACCGACAGACAGACCAACATTGCCATTCCTAAAAAGTAAGTTTAGGTTTGTATTGGGAATGCTATGTGACCAAAAGGTGGAGCAATAAATAGAGTACTAAAGAAACTGATGAGGTTGCCTGAACAGCAAAAAAAGTAGAGTGGTGTTTCCTTTACCAACAAACATTGTTTTTTTATTTTTGCAGACACCATCTTCTAGCTAGCAAAATCAACCAACAATAGTCAAATTTCATTTCGGCCTTTGGGCGAGTTACTCGGGGAATTCACTTTAATTAGCAACAGTTGTGCAGATATAATCTGCTGCTGCAGTGGTCGCCATTTCAACCTGTGAAAGTGACGGTCAGCTGATGGTCAAATGTTTTATGCATTGTTCATTACTAACAAAAAAGAGCGAGGAGAAGTATAACACTTGATAAGAGATCCAGCATGTAACCAGCTTCTGCAGTTCCTGCACTTTTCTGTTGGAAGTCACAAAAGTACTAATAAAATCTGTCATTATTTCAGCCTTTATGAGAAATACCAACTATACGTTGGTATATACCAACTTTCTATCTTATTTATATTCCTTTTGCCTTTTGTGTAACTGTGACAGAATTTGCTCTCAGGGAACAATAAAGTGTTTCTGATTCTGAAAACATGAAGATTGCAGTTGAAATTTCAATAAGAAAACATTTACATAATATATTCGTTCTGTACAATACAGACAAAGAGTTTAGTGCATGTGGGCACTTTGAGTATCCTTCACAATCTATGGTCATAACATGTCAGGCTATCAGAGTGAGGTGCAGCTGAGACTTTTATTTACACTGATTAGTTGCATCAAATTTATAGAGAACTACGGAATGGTACTGACCCAAGGTACGGACGGTGGCGATCTCGCTGAAGGGTCCAGTGCCCATTTTATTGTGAGACAGGATGCTGAACTGGTAGTCGGTGACAGGAGACAGGCCTGTCACCTGCCACCTGGTGCCAGAGGAAGGGGGCACGGGCACAGAGAACCATTCCTGCTTCCCTTCATTATCATTCACTGAAATCTTCTTCACCCTGCAGAGGGAGAGAGACAGAGAGAAAAGAAGTGAGAACAAAAGAGCGGCGGGGAATTCTGGGCGTCTGATTTTATGAAACATGACAGAAAAGTAGGTTTCATTAATCATTCATACTCATCATCAGTTCCAGATTTTGTGGCAGAGACAGCTTGGATGTATCTCTGCAATTGCACAGAGAGCTTGCAACTCCAATTATGGTGATTTTCATGTTCCTACCAGCGCTGAGATTGTACTGTACATGTCTATTTTTATAGAGCAGATTACTTGACCCGAGGCAAAAAAAAAATAATCACCTATTCAAAACTGGAGAAACTTTTGAAAATTATTAATGTCAGTCTAAAAATGAGGCCCTTTTTTTGTTTTTGAAGATGATGGCTTTGACTCAACAGAAGTGGCATGTTCTTTTATGAGAAAATAGAAAGGGCAGCAGATCACTCACATATTAATTGACGCGCATGATTGTGACACCCGAGTGTAGACTAGATTATGTATGTTATTGTGGAGCATGAAGCAGGTCATACTTACAAAGCAAAATACAACAGCAGAGATTAGTTTACTTTCTAAGAGCAAAACATGAGATTTGTGGGTTTCTCTCCTGTAGTAATTCATTTTACAAGTATATGGGTGAATATTGGCCCACAGAGCTTTCACAACTGCACGATTGGTATGCAATTGGTAATTGGTAATTATTAATTAATATTATCTGTTGGAAGTCACAAAAGTGCTAACCAAATCGGCTATCATTTCCGCCTTTATAAGAAAAAATGAAGATTGCAGTTGAAATGTCAAAGGGAAAACATTATATTCTGCATGTTCTGTACAGTACAGAGTTTAGAGCGTGTGTTCACTTTGACCATCCTTCACAATCTATGGTTGTTACATGCCAGGTGAGGTGTAGCATGTGTAGATGAGATCTATTTTTATATTTTTGATGTAATTTGTATTTCTTTGTATGCTGCTCCTTGATGCAGTGATGACCCAGTTCCCTCTCAGGGATTAAGATAGCTTATCTTCATCTGATGTAGCGCTCCCAAGTTATGTGATTAAACATGAGCATTAGGAGAAGTTTTATGTATACCATCACTTGCATTCTCTGTTTTTTAAACTTTTACTTAATCAAACTAAAATAACCTGCTTTCTAAGATATAATGCTCATACATTCTAACTTTAATACAAGGACTTTTTTTTTGCACATTCCAAACCTAATGGTTCTGGTGAATTTTTGTCCAACTCGCCGCAGTTTTACACTCCATTTATTCCGTCCACCAGTATCTTCTAGTGCATCACGTACAAGCAAACACAAGACATTCATCTGTGATTTCTGAGCCAATATAAAAGCGCTGATTCACAAGAAATAAATGTATTACGCTACCTTTGTCAGTAACCTTCTATTGTAGCTAGCACAGCTGCTGCATTATAAAGCAATGCTCTGGAGCAGCGTTTTGCATTGTAGCTGCCAAGAAGTGATAACAGATAAATGAATTCCTCATCCCAGAGATCAATAGAGTAATACCAGAGCTGTCGATGGCTGCCATGGTTACAGCCCAAGAAGAAAGTGGGAGGCTTTACACCCACCAAACTGAAAATGTCTGTGCTGATCCTCCATCAAAGCCTGCCTCCCAGGATATGTTGGCCTGTTTCACCCCTGGAGAGACGGACAGAGAGATAGCCGCATGGGGACTGGTTCCTGTAAAGTAGGGAACAGAGAGGAGTTGATGGAAATCGGCCAGAACTTCAACTATCTGATACCACTAAAGTTTAGAGGCCATCTCTAGATGCACTGCATTTATCATTTGAAGGCGGCGTGGAGGCACAGGCATCCGGCCTGTGCTGGGTATAATAGAGGTTTACACAGGTAAAAGAAAACAATTTGAAAAAGAAATTTTTTTTCACTTGGCCAGCTAACATAACAGCAAAACCAACTTGTGTTCAGATAGGAATTCTTCTGTTCGTACTCACCCAGGACAAAGACTTGTGTGCTGGCTTTCACCGAGGCTACACGGTTAGCAACGCTGCACTCCCACACCCCTGGTGGTCCTTAGTGAGGGGCTGTAGGAGCAGAGAACCGTTGGGTTCTATGGAATAAGATGTGCGACGAGCCAAGTCGACCTACCAGAAACACACAAAGACAAAGAACAAAACTCTCTGCATCTGTCTAAATATAAAGTATATACAGCTGGCCGGAAAGAAAATCTAATAACCAACATAATGGATCTCTTCTTGAGCTTAATATACTGTTTTTTAACTCAGTCTCATAATGTAACTGAAAACTGCTCCAAGTAAGGAAAAAGAATTCATGTATTTAAAAAATTTCAATTCAATTATTTTTATCGAGGTAAATCTGACAATGTATCGTGATATGTAATATTATATTATATCATGTTATATTTAGCTCATATTGTCCAGCTCTAATATGCTGTGCAGTCAGAAAGTGTTTTGTTTTTCAGTCATTTGTTTTTCTGGCTCTGTAGTCCAGCAGATTACATTTGAAATAAAATAAATTAGGTTAAAAAGTCACCTTTAGTCCTTAAAGTTACAGTGAAATGACAAGTTTCCAAGTTGAATAAAATATGTGGGCGAGGTATAATAAGGGGAAATCCTTCTGATTTCACTGGATCCTGACAAGGCTTGTACAGTGCAACATACTGTCAGACTGTTTGCATCCATCCATACCTCCCTAACCCATGCCATGACATCATGAGGCAGAGGATCAGTTTTATATAAATAAATTAGAAATCGCCTTTAGAAATTTAAACAAAGTTTTTGCCAACTGACAGACATCTCATATCTCTCTGCTCATATAACCCACAAGCTAACAGTCAAGTGCACTTTTACAGCTCGTCGCCCAAATCACATTTAAATGGATACATTTATGTATACGCCCCAAGTGCAGGATGACTCAAAATATTTCCACATTTTACAGGAAGAGAAAAGAAAGGGATTTGATATTAAAAACACGTTTTCTTTTTGAAAATATTTTTGGTATATACACCAAGAGATAACTGAACAATTAACAAAAAGACAAAGGTCTTAACTGTTAGATGTGTTAGATTGTGTGAACATCCATAATGGATGAATACAGTAGAAATTAAGACCCATTTTGTTCATATTTCCTCTCCTGGATTTGAACAGTGCTACAGAAAACCAAAGACAAAAAAAATGTATCACTGTCCAAATACGTTAGGACTGCACCGTTATGTTTCAGCATGTGCACATTTCTGTACGCATTATTTTCTTGGACATATGTAAAAGTGCATGTTTGTGTTTTACAAGCCACTATGTACATTTCAATGAAACATAAAACAAGAACAAAAACAACAACCGCAGTACAATGAATAAAACAGAACTGCTTACTTATTGAATGACCTGTACTGGGTTATTTACCTTGCTCCAGGTCACTTTAATAGTTGGTCCTCATTTCCTTGACATGGGATGAGCAGGGTTCTACCAGCTTCCTGTTTGTATGCTTCTCTGGAGTGATGCTAAATGATGGGGGTCCTGTGAATTGCCAAAGCAATATAGCTGAATCAGGAGATTGCGGCAATGCCAACAATGGATTTTAAGACTGGATTACTGCCGCTTTGGACAAGATTATCTTAATAACAAAAGGATAGCCACACAATTAACTCCCCAATAGTGGAGCCATTGTAGTGAGTCTGAGTTGACTTCTATTAATGCCAG